CGTTATGACCCCGTGACAATATATATATATATATATATATATATATATATATATATATATATATATATATATATATATATATATATATATATATATATATATATAAATAGTGGGAGTAATAATTCAATGGGCCAGTTAGTCTTCGTGAAGGTATGGGATATGGCACAACGAGAGCGTTGTCAACAAGGGTAAATATTTTATTTCCTTGTTGACAACGCTCCCGTTGTGCCATATTCGATATATATATATATATATATATATATATATATATATATATATATATATATATATATATATATATATATATATATATATATATTCTCTGGTAAACGTCGGTGGTCCCTTACGTAGTAAAGTAAAAGAAAAGAAGCTGGTACACATTCAAGAAAGCAAGCAATTCCTCTACAGATTTACGTTTCGGCCCCGGCGCGGCTTACGCATAATGCGTACCATACGTTGGAAGTGTGGCAGCTTGGGTTAGTTGGTATGACAGTACGATAGTTATAGCAGGAGAACAGAACGACGACGCAGAGACAAAAAGGACGCCTGCGTCCTTCGTATCTTTCTTGCCTCTGCGTAGAGCTCGTGTCCTTCATGTCCATTTTGTCTCTGCGCCATCGTTATGTTCTCGCACTATGAATATTGTGGTACGGTACCATTGATTCTTTCATGGATGGATACACGTTTCAAGAAAAAACAACACCTTAGAGACTATATATATATATATATATATATATATATATACAATGTTGTGGTTCAAGTTGAAGGTGGTCGGGCAATAATGGAGTTGGTAGGCGGCACCAGTTCAGGTATTTCTCTTCGCCTCTCTCGTCTGATACGAAGCCCGCTGGGCGAGTAAGAATCACTACGAATGTTTAGGGTGGAACCAATTAAGGGGAGTGGCATGTACCACCTTGGTCCGGTTTGACTGACGGCCAGCAGATGTCAGCCGTGCTACCACGTATGCGAAATCGCTCAAGCGATCAACATTGACGAATGTGCCACTGTACTGTGGTAAAAACTTTCCGCATTGGCCCCGTTTACGTTGTGGCCCTCGCAATCGTACTAAGTCTTCTTCGCAGTATGCGACAGACAGATGGCGACTGTCATAGCTTTCCTTCGATCGGTGTCGCAAAGTCAGAGTACGAAGACGAGCAATACGCTGGGCTTCATCGTCTAAGCAAAGTGTCTTGATTGATATGTGGGGTTTAACGTCCCAAAACCACCATATGATTACTGAGAGACGCCGTAGTGGAGGGCTCCGGAAATTTAGACCACCTGGGGTTCTTTAACGTGCACCCAAATCTGAGCACACGGGCCTACAACATTTCCGCCTCCATCGGAAATGCAGCCGCCGCAGCCGGGATTCGAACCCGCGCCCTGCGGGTCAGCAGCCGAGTACCTTAGCCACTAGACCACCGCGGCGGGGCTAAGCAAAGTGTCTTGGAGGCAGAGTAGTCGTTATGTAAGTCAAATGATAGAATAGTATCGATGCAGCTTAACGTCGTAAAGGAGATGAACGTGCGTAAAGGAGGCAAAAAGGACTGTAATTGATTGTCTCTTGTGGGGCCGTGTTATACGCATAGGTAGTTTTTGCCAACAAGATGTTCAAGTACTAATGTCTCCGTTCACCAAAACGGTATTTCTTAAAGTTTAGGATCTATCCGTCCTGTTTTATACAACACATAATAAGACTAAGACGTCTGTTATGCTTGTTCAGAGTACTCCGAAAATCACATCATCATCTAGGTAGCACAAACAAGTTTCCATTTTAGTCCTCGAAGTGTTGTGTCCATAAATAATGCAAACGTTGCTGGTGGATCACAAAGACTGAACGGCATAACAATAAATTCATAAAGGCCATCAGGTGTCACGAAGGCCGTTATCTCTTCGTCGTTTGGGTGCGTGGGTACTTGCCAATACCCTCATCGCAAATCCAGAGAAGAAAAGTAGGCAGAGGTATGCAGCAATTCAATGACGTCATCAATTCTAGAAATCGGATACACATCCTATTTGGTCACGTTATTTAGTTTTCTATAGTCAACGCGAAACCGCCATGATCCATCCTTCTTCCTTACTAGGATCACAGGCGCTGCCCACGGACTTGAGTATTCTTGGACAACACCTTTACGTAACATGTCGGTGAGCTGTTCAGCTTTCACTGTCCCTTTTGTCGATGACACGCTGGTAAGGTTTTTGAAGAACGGGTTGTGCAGACCCGGTGTCAATTCTGTGATGAGCACGAGAACGCTGTACTGAAGTCTCCGTGTCACCTTGTGTAAAATTGAACACCGAAAGTTGTGTCATAAGGATTCGTGCAAGAGCATGGCAATCATGTGAGGGTAGCGACATGCTGATCGTTCTTAAGATTTGTTCTTCAAAACTGCTTCTCTGGGGGTTCTTTTTTTTCAGACTGCTGCTCTTGGCTTAAAATGGTGATAGTGCCGTAGGTGATTTCGTCGAACTTGGCAAGCTTCATACCACGGGGAAGAACAGCAGGCACCAAAGAAAAATTGAAAGCCCATAAGCTGGAGGCGCCATTCCCAACTGTCACAAAAGAACGAGGCACAAGTACATTTCACATCACGCAACCAGTCGCAATTGGTTGTATTTGCGCGTCAAACGATGAAATCTCGGCCACAGCAAGATTATTAGGAACACGTGGTAGAGACCACGGCGCTAAAAAAGAAATGTTCGACACGAAGACAAAGTTTTTCAGCGGTAAAGATGTATCAGAAAGCGTGGACATAAGGGCGTTATTCGCCGTTTTTTTCCCTGTCCCACAATTACCGGAAGCACCACAATCCTGAGGAAAGTCGATCCCGAGAATCACATCATGAGTGCACAACGGTAATACCAAAACACTGTCGAAATTTGGGCTTGTTGGTGCATTGTGACGACTGAAAATAGCGCTAAAAACGAGGACACAAGAAGAGGACACACAGCACAGGCGCACAGCACAGGCGACCAAAAATTTTGTGACGAGATATTCAGCACCAAACAAAACACTTGCAACACTAATACCTAGAGAAATGAGGCACTCTTCGCTGACAACACGAAACGTCACACCACCATTCCGCGGGACCACAACCTTCCAACCAAGCCTTTCTTTGAATGTGGGATTCATGACGGAAACCGTAGCACCAGTATCCTCTAACGCAATTGCAGGCTGACTGGCAATTAACACACACAGTTTGTTTCGGGACATCATAGGACGAGGAGCAGTTTGCAGAGTCGGAGGCTGGCCGTTGATTTAACCTTCATCGGCCGTGCCGGCTAATTTCCCGATGAAGGTGGTGGTGTAGAACTTCACCGTGGTGATGGTGAACGACGTAAGCAACTGGTTGGTGGTGCCAGGCTACGGTCTAATGCTGGCGAGTCACTCCTACTATTGAAAGGGGGGAAGGAATTCCTGGATAGCGAGCCTGTAGCGTTTATTACACAATGTTCGGCCGGCTAATGATCATCGTTGATGGCTTCAAACTTAGGTCAAGTCAGTGGTGGGTCATACCTCATCTGGCGGTGACAGCGACAAAAACGAGAATTGTGTCCTATGGCACCGCAGCTGTAGCAGTCAGGTGAAGGGCCGACCTCCACGAAACTGTTACGGTTAAAATCGAAGGGTGTTGATTAGCAGGGCGAAGTTGATGATCGATCGCGTAATAATGGCGTTGGTAGGCTGCACCAGTTCACGTATTCTTCCTCTTCTCCTCTCTCGTTGATATATATATATATATATATATATATATATATATATATATATATATATATATATATATATATATATATATATATAGTGTGTGTGTGTGTGTGTGTGTGTGTGATTCCTAAGGCTCATTTATATTAGGACCACATGTATCTATCCCTGAATGAAATCACTGTTACGGTACGTATTACTCGCAAGTCACCAAAAAGTTATTCTACCAATATTTTGCGCATAAAAAACCTTGACTTAGCAAAACACACTGCTAGTTGAGAGTGGTAGCACTCAGTAATGGCTCACAACAATTGCACGTGTAAACAGTTCGCGTCCCTATACAGAGAATAGAAGCTTGCAAATAGATTATTCGATATGTGGGGTTCAACGTCCGAAACCACCATATTAGTGTGAGAGACACGGTAGTGAAAGGCTCTGTAAATTAAAACTACGTGTGGTTCTTTAAAGTATTGCCAAGTTTGCGAGGATAACTCACACTTACCGTTCTAAACACGTTGCTTAGAAATACAGGCGCTTTGCGAAGAATTATCTCGCGCTTTAATAAGTGCGACCTTCTTGTTTCATTCTATCACATAGTGTAATGCTCATCAGGAATCCTCACACTTCCACTGCTGCATAAAGTGGAATAACACCCCTAATCAAGAAAAAAACAACAACACAACTTTGAATAACTTCGCAACTAGATCTTCCTTTTTATAGCACAGTGAACAACTGCAAATACTTGGGGTGAGTTTGAAGACAAGATCTTCATTCTCACATCACTTCCTGCACTGCTCAAGGCGTGAGCTACAGTATCTGGTGACCCACATTGACTGGAATCCATGAGAGCACGCCTTGAGAAACACTTACGATCCGGCGATGCAGTTGAGAGACGAAATGAGGTGCATCAATGTGGCCAGTTTTCCCAGTTACTGCGGATGTTTATTTTGGTTGCCGCGATGTATCGAATTTGTGTCACTTCCTTACTTGATTCGTGATAGTGTGCAGTCAGCCAGACAACTGAGAAGAGTTATTCACTTCCGGGACACATACACTTTGTACACAAGCATAGGGAACCACTTCTTTCGTGTCCGTAAACCAGGCGTTTGGTTAGGTAAGGCTAGATACGGAGACAACAGTTTCTTACCGTAGCGTTCCTGCGCGTCAACGTGCTACATTGTTACTTTGCGGCTTCCCTACTCTCTTACGGGTGTGATGAACTTTCATCCCTCTCTGCTTCTTCTGTGATACTGCCTAATCGAGACAGTATATAAACTCAATACAACGACCTACAACCAGCAGCCGTAGTCCTCTGTTTCTTCGGACGTGAAGTATGACCACCATGGTAAGCACTAGCAAACCTTGGCTACTGTAGCTTAATTGCTGTAAGTAAGCGTATTTGTGCACGTTTCTTGTGTCAGAATAATTTGCCCTAATTTCAGCAGTGTTATTTTTAGAAAACTGTTCACCAATGTCTTGTGTTTTTTAGATGGGTTATTGCATAACAGGTGGTCGTTGCGGCGTTCTTGTCATGCGTGAATGGCTCACATGTAGACGCTTCAAAAGTGGGATAAATATTCATCATCAAAGTTACCTTCCATGGCCTTCAATGTTATGTATTCTACTTAGAAATGTTTACAGAGGTATTTGAAGCTTGGTCTTAAAATTTTATTATATTATCGCTTGTTGAGAACTGAAACTCCTTGATGGCAGTGTTCAGGACGTCTCTTTTACCTTCTGCATTTTATGGATCTTCATATACATCAATGCAGCTCGATGCAAAATTTATTGTGCCATCTAATTTGACTCTGCCTAGAAGTGGATGTACGAACAAGATTATGAAAGCGCTTTCTTTCGCAGTGATCTCACTGCAAGAAAAAAAAAAGCTTGCGAGCTGAGCAGGCCCGATTAAGGCATGCCTCTTAAGATGCTGAAGAAAACCGCATCAACATTAACTCAAGCCGTTTGTATCACTGACAGAAGAAATTTACGTAGGGGTCCTCTCTGAAAAAATAACACGACGAAAGTTTATTATTGATTGAATATAAGCAGTTTTCAGACGACTGAAAACAATACATTATTAACAAGAGGGTCATATGCCTTCTACTATGAATTTCATAGAGATGTCTAAAAGGTAGGTTTGAGGGCGTCAAGACAGCTTTATTATTAGCGTGACCATCGGTTCTTGCAATAGCATCTCCTTAGGTCATCAGAAAAGTGCTTGCGTTGGGCGGTGAACTGCTGCACTGAATGAATAATCTGTGCAAAGAAAACGGTTCATTTCACAACCCCCTGCAAATACGCAAAACAGGATTACTAAGTCCCAATTTCGAAACTTACATGTTATCTTTCTCTGTTTATTGAGAATGGCGCTATTCCGAGGTTGATAAATTTTATGAATTGATTCGCAATTTATAGATGAGTGAAACAGAATCGTATGCACATTCCTTAATAACATTGCATTATCTGCACATCTTCCTTATCAGTGTTAGCATGCGCAGCATTTCAACATTACTTACCATTTATTGCCGCAGCGTCTTTCGACCTCTGTGTGAGTTGGGCGGTAGCTCTTGTTAAGTTAAGCTACTTCCGGAGAATCTTCAAAGCTCCCCGAAATAGAGTGTCAGTGACCGATTTTTGACCGATATGAAATAAGACGACTCAAGCCAACCTCGAGTTTCTAGAAAGTGCCCTTGTCCGAGGCGCGCGACAGCTGGACTTACGAGTTTAACACCAAAATCTTAATTACACCGCAACATTCTTGACGACTCTTGTTGGGGAAAATTGTTTTTTTGTGTCAATACTAAACGAGGTCATTCTAACAATGTTATAGTGATTACTGTGCTTCTACTCAAAATACCAAACTTCATATTGATGATCTTGTATTGCTACGTTTTCTATAAATTCAGTGTGTATGGGTGTGGTGTTTACCTATATAGGCCACGCGTTAATTAGCTTCTAAATTCTTATTGGTGGCCACCTTTCCCGAGTTCATACAGGCGTTCTGTTTCTCTCGAGACATACTTCAAGTTAACATGCATTTCTCCGGGGCTTGCATTAGCATCGCAAGCATTAAAACGACCCCCGTCTCAAACTTTAGAAAGAAGTCTCTGTATATTTCTGTTGAAGTAATAGTCAAAAGCCTCATTGAGTTGTCGATATTGTGGAAAGGAAAATAGAGTAAGAAACTCTCATTGCTGTACGTGCTGTTGCGTTCGAACTTTCTTAGTAAGCTGCAGTTACTGCTGATCGCGTCAAAATTATTTGGTTCACAAACAGTACGTCACGTATACTTTGTATGTTTATATTTGCAGGCGAATCTCTCTGCCTTGCTCCTCGCCTTCGCCATGTACCTGGTTTCCCCAGTGGTGGACGCTGGAGGCGTCAGTTATGTTGGCTCAGGCTATGGTGGCCTCGGATATGGGGCTGGTGGCTACGGAGGTCTTGGCTACGGTGGCCTGGGTGGTACCGGCCTAGGTGGAGTGGGCTTGGGTGGTGTCGGCCTAAGTGGAGCGGGCCTTGGTGGTGTTGGCCTGCTTGGAGCTGGCCTGGGTGGAGCTGGCCTGGGTGGTGTCGGCCTGGGCGGTGTCGGCTTGACTGGAGCTGGCCTGGGTGGAGCTGGCCTGGGTGGTGTTGGTGTGGGCAGCAGCGTTGCTCTCCTTAGTGGGGGACCCGCCTTCGCCAAGCTGGTAGCTGGGCCAGCTTTTGTTGTCAGAACCGTTCACCACGTTAACAAAGTCAATGCTGGAGGTGCCCTCCTCGCCCACTCCGGCCTGGGAAGTGGATACGGACGTGGCGGCTATGGGGGCTATGGAGGATACGGCGGATATGGAATTTATGGTGGATACGGTGGCTACGGCTACAAAGGCTAATTGTTTCGTTCCCTGACATGCTGTTTCATTTGTACCATTCAAATGTACGATAGATTATTTTTACACTTATTTTACCAATACATCAATAAAGCATTCTATGTGGTTTCATTCTCGTTTCTCACTAAATAGGTGTGTGGACTGCCACCGTCCATAATTACTCAAAAGAAAGCTTATTGTGGTGTCCGTAGGTTTACGGTTCTATTCGCATAAATCTCTCATTGATGAGAGTTGTGCACTGAGGAAGAAAATCTGCTTGGGTTTCTACTATTGTTAATAATTATTTTTCTCTTACGAAAGGCATGACCAAGACTTGATATGCCTGATAATAATTAGTCTTTGAGACCTGAATATAAGACTGAGACTTCACTGAGACCTCCCAACAGCTACTTGTTCACTTCGCTTGAGACTTACACAGATCATAAATGGTGTATGCTATATACATTTCCGCTGAAATAAAAAAGGCTGGACCCTCGCTTAGCGATAGGCGATATACATGAAGCATTAGCACTATCACATACTTTTTGGATCTGCTCTTCAAAAAGCAATGAATAAGTTCTTTTTGAATATGAAAGAGTTTCCTATTATAACCATCATGGTGAGACGCATTTTCAAAAAGCACTAGCTTTTCTGGCGTTTATGTGCACGACGCTTTGCTTTAGCTTAAAAAGTAGTGTCATGGTACAGGCACCTTACGCTGCGTTGCGTAAATTTAATAACTTGAGACGTGAATAGTTCTAATACAAATGACCGAAACCACACAAGCAAAGTTAACAATCAGGCTCCCGTTCATTCTTGTCCTATACGAGAGTAAATAATTAATGCGCACAGGATTTCTTATTGAAACCTATTCAATATGACAACAATAAAGGAGCACTGGAACAAAAACTTGGCTCCTCGCATTTTCTTTATTCAATAGGGAGCTTGTCACCCAGTTAACAAAACTGGAAAGCTCATTTGCTTGAGTAGGCAACGCTTATTTAATTAGCGACGGTTTACAGCTCTCAGACGTAGCTGCGGTTTCAAAGAGCATCGAGGTGGGGAAGACAAGTTCCCATTGGCTATGCAAACACCACTAGACAAGTCACTGTGCAAAGTAGTGGCGTCAGAACTGCGAGGAAGCGGACACCACATTGACTAGGCAACACAAACACATGAACTCATTAAATCAGTTTATTTACGCAGCACAATGTTGATGTCGGTGCCGTGACGCCCTCCCCATCTTGCTCAGTTTCACGGCATGCGCTTTAAAATTGTTTTCAAAATGAATATGTTGTAGTATATATTTAAACCTCCTATATATTAGATGTTGTGTGTCTCCTCATAGAACTGTCTCACTTATCTCGTCCTGGAAAGTTTGCGTCAGTGCTCCTATAAAATCGTACAAAATTAACAGAAATATAAAACTTATGCTAATTGACTACAACCACAACCAACGCGATTCAAGGAAAAATAATTTACACCGAAAAGACTATGAGATCAATAATGTTGAGAAGTCATGAACCATAAGCCTATTTTTTGCAGTTAGGTTGAGTAGCTTTCTTGTGCGCCTGGTATTTTACGAGTGGACTATTGTCAAGCTATTTGCAACTGTCCTCGCCAATAAAAGATTACAGCAAGTCTATATAATTCAGTCTCAGTACAATGTCCGGTCTTTTAGTTTACTATACTCGGTGACAACACTCTGTGGCAGCAGGAGAGCCAAGGCTTGAAAGCCCAAAAAATTGGCAAATCCTACGTACAGTGGGAATCAATGATATTCAAAGCGCGAATGAGAAATGTTGACATGTCACTTTAAATCAGCAGAATGTTACGAGGTGGAAGTAAATGATTCCGTACATGACTTCCATGTCATGGTTGTTGTTTGAATGTGTCGTTTACCTTCTTCATCTATTCACGTCACGTGATACCAAGTTTAGTATACGTGGAGCTAGTGAAACGGCCGTGTGCATGCTATGAGCGTGGTATTCTGTCATGTTCTTACATGACAGCGTATAGCGATTATCATGTTTGCACCAGTCATATAATTCATTATTCATTGACGTCACGTAACACCAAATTCCGTATATTTGGAGCTAGCAGATCGGCCTCGAGTGCATCATGAAGGACCCAATATACTTCAATGTAGCGTTGATGTGCGCGCACACTGGCCACAGCAACGCTACGTTACCAAAACTCGAGCACTTTATATAGTCTGATGTCAGGCCCGACTAGCGTCCGTCGGCGTGGCCCGACGGCAACCGGTGCCCATTGCGACATGCTGCATTTCGCGCCCATGCCATAAAATAACAATACTCTATGCCGATGCGTTACCCATACAACACTGCGTCTTCCTATTTTTGTGACGGAGGGACGCCGGATGCGCTGAAACCCACATGCGTCAAAGCAACGCAGCGCGGCGCGCGCCAGCGAATATATGGCAGGACTGGCGCCGGGCATGGCAACGCCGACGTGACGCGACGAAATGAACGCCGGCGAGCATGCCCACCACGTCATGTCAAAATGTATTGGCGCCTTGACTGCGGCATGTAATCATGCTCTCACATGACACGCATCTCATGATTATTATGTTTGCACCAGTTACATACTTTCGTCATCTATTGGCGTCACTTAATACAAATTTGGCATATGTGAAGCTAGCGAAATGGCCACGAGCGTGTCATGAGTGTGGCATATTGTCATGTTGTTGCATGACACACATGTCGTGGTTATTATGTTCGGATGTGTGATTTGCCCATGTCGTCAATTCGCGTCGCGTAATACCGAGTTTGGTACACGTGAAGCTACCAAAACGGCCGCGAGCGCATCATGAGCATAGCATGTAGTCAAGTTATTACATGACACGCATCTCGTGTTTATCACGTTTGCACCAGTATCATACCTTCGTCATCCATTCAGTATCTCGTAACACCGAATTTGGTATAAGAGATGCTAGCGAAACGGCCGTCAGCGCATCTTGAGTGTGGCACGTAGTGATGACATGACACGCGTCTCATGATTATCATGTTTGCACCAGTCACATACCTTCGTCATCCATTCGCGTACCGTACTACCCAATTTGGTGTATGTGACGCAAGCAAAACGGCCGCGAGTGCATCATGAGCGTGACATGTAGTCATGATGTTACACGACACGCATGTCACGATTTTCATATTAGAGTCTGTCGCTTGTGTTCGTCATGCAATCATGTCATGCCATACCAGGTTTGCAACACATCATGAAAGCGAAACCACGGCAAGAGCTGCAGGACCATAAAATGTAAATCATGATTGTCATGACACACATGTCGTGATTTTCATTTTATGACTAGTCAAATATGTTCTTCGTTTAGTCATGTTATGCCATACGAAGTTTGGTTTCGATACCGTAATCGAAACGGCCAGGAGAGCTGAAAGTCATAGGCGGCTAGATAGATAGATATATAGGTAGATAGGTACGCTCAGTCTCCGAAGTTCGCTTAGAAATGCTCCGCATTTAAAAAACGCGAGTCCGCCGGCCAACGGCTGGTGCGTAGCTGCTTGCGACCGATTGACAGGTAAGAAAACTGTAATGGCTACCAAGTTTTATAGTTCCGATGCAGGGTAGAGCCCCGCCAGCCCGTGCTGGTGCACTTACAGCACGGGACATAGTACAACCAAGCCTGTTACGAGCAACCTCAACGCGTTTTTGACGATTCGCAACACAGCGACGAGGTCTCCGCCGAGTTAGGAACTGGAGCACAAGATTGCGGAGTGACCACAACGCGGCACCTGGCTCAGACAGCGAGTAAAGTCCCTAGATGAAACAAGTTTGTATCTTCAAGGGACCTTAGCGGCCGAGCTCCGGAAAACGTCAGGATAAGCGTTTGAGAGGGCGCAGGTGAGTCATGGTGTTTCCTCGAAACGGGAGCGCGTGTCACACGCGTGAAACGCGTTTTGCAGGTGGTGGGGGGGGGGGGGGGGCTTTCATGCTGTGCCGTCAGCTTGGCACGCTAAAACGAGACGCTCGCTGTGCGGAGTTCCCTTTTCGCGATGGAAGAGGCAGCCCCACGAAACCGTCGGCAAAGTCCGAAGTATTGTTGTGTTGTTGGCTGCCACAACAACGCCGGCATCACGAGACGCTGTCCACGAGTAAAGTTGTATCAGTTCCCCAGCAAGTCACAGCTGGCGAGCGCAGGCGTATTCGTGAAGATAGAGCAAGCATGACAAGAGAGCCGAAAAAAAAAAGAATGAGGCGAGCACTTCAACTTGGCTCACTGTGGTTAAAAATCAGCTTATGCTTCACGGCGAAGTCAGTGGGTCTACCGAGGCACGGAGGACATGAATAAAACTTTTCGGACAATTTGTTGTTTTGAACATACAACTTTAGTATTTATTCATTTTTAGCCTGCCGCAAATGTTTGCACATGGCAGTGCATGGCTGCTACTTCTGGATACGACGTCAAAACAACAAATATATGGTTTTCATAAATGTAAACGCAGCACATTCACAGAGTACACGGCTACATATTGGCAGAATGAGCCTCCCCTCGAGGCATACGTCGTTCACGGTATTCTCACGCACCTGACAATGCATTTTGCAGCCACTCGGGCGTCTCCATTTTCCATCGTCTGCTCCACATCTCAAACTTGACTAAAGATCTGCACTTCTTCTGTTAGATTGGCTTCTAGGGAGTGCTTGTCCTGCTCAGAGATCTTTGTGAAGCCTGCACTGCATGCGGTACATTGCGTGGTAACTCAAACGCACCGCGCGCTCTCTGCACGAGCACGTAAGCGAGCGGCAGCGCGTTGGCGAGGAAGGAAAACGCGCGATATACATCCCTTGTTTCTACTTTTCTATTAAAGATGGTGGTGCTTTTCCGAGCCTCTCCAGAGTCACAGCGCCATCGTGCGTTGCTTTGGTTTCCTATATCGTGAGTCAAGAGCTGTTCACGACGGCGAACACAGGCGAGCACTCGATAAGTGAGCGTCCGGGCAGCCGATGATAAAGGCGGCCAACTTCCAGGCGGTCAGAAAGCATAGGCGAAGTGCAGACGCCCAAGTCGACCTTCGCGGTGCATTTTGTGCGTGTGATATACAACATGACCGAACCCGTTGCCGGCAAGCGCGATCGGTATCTCACACACGACAAGTACGACAGAATAAAGAATAATCACCTAGCTACTTGTGAAAGAATCAAGCGCTGATTTCTACCCTGAGTCAGCCTGAAATAATGTATTTGATAGGCTTGTTTTCTTCTCGGTCACCATGTTGGCCTTCATTCCCAACCGGCAGTATCGTGAGTTGGTCGTGACCATCTTGACTAGGCCAGAGATATACAGCGCGGCATGGTGGCGTGTGAAGACCTGCTTCTGTCTTGATGGGTGCGGCGAAACGTAAAATTAGCAGCGCACGCTCATCCAAGCGCACACACAAGGCACCGCGGCGTAATTCTATAATCGTAGATCTCTCGGAGCACGACGCAACGCCAACTGTCACCAGCAAGACAAGGGGGAAGACTGATCAAGGAGAGCGGACGACGGCTACTTTCCTGGACAAAGGTTTGCACAGGGTCCGCATCTCCCGCACAGTTCATTCCTTCGCACTCTAAGTAGTTTGCACGTGGCATGCATCCCTCTGTCGTTACTTTTCAATGATCTATCCGTTCATCGTGCGCGCCTGTTGGGCTTCGTTACTCCTTTTTCAGCGATGGCATAGCAGCGATAAGCAGCGATGGCAAAGTGGTTAGAGCCTTCGCCTCGCCTGCAAAAGGTCCGTGGTTCAAATCCCGGTGCCGGGCAGTTCCCAACCAGATAAAAAAAAATCCGCGTGGTGATGGAACTGCATTACGAGGCCTGGGGTGCGGCCTCACCGGTAACCACCGCCGGGAGCGCACTCCCTCACCACAGAAGGATTGGCAGAGAAGGATTGGGAAAGTGTGAATGGTATATTTCAACTGAATAAAAGATACAAGATGACGGTGGTACAGGCCTACGCACCTACATACAGCCATGATGACGCTCCAGTTGAAAGCTTCTATGAAGACGTGGAATCGGCAATGAGTAAGATAAAAACACAGTATACTATAGTGATGGGTGACTAATGCAATGGTAGGGAAGAAGCAGGCTGGAGACCAGGCAATAGGAGAATATGGCATCGGTACTAGAAAAGCCAGAGGAGAGCTACCAGTAGAATTCGCAGAACGCAATAATTTACGTATTTTGAATACCTTCTACCGAAAACGAGGAAACCGCAAGTGGACATGGAGGAGCCCTAATGGCAAAAATAAGAACGAAATAGAATTTATAATGAGGGCACACTCAGGCATCGTGCAGGATGTGGAAGTGGTTGGCAAGGTATATGCAGTGACCATAGAATGGTACGGTCTCGAAATCGCCTAGATTTGAGGAAGGAACGACAGAAACTGATACGCAAGAAGCCAATCAATGAGCTAGCACTGAGAGGGAAAGTACAGGAATTCAGAGTCTCGCTTCAGAACAGGTACTCGGCTCTTAGTGAGGAAACCAACCTTAGCATAGATACAATGAATTATAATCTGACGAGTATCATTACGGAGTGTGCAGCGGAAGTTGGAGGCAGGGTAGTTAAACAAGACACTGGCAAGCTTTCCCAGGAAATGAAGAATCTCATTAAGAAGCGTCAAATCATGAAAGTCTCAAGTACAACAGACAAAATAGAACTGGCAGAGCTTTCGAAGTTGATTAATAGGCGTAAGGTATTCGATGTAAGAAGGCATAATATGGAGAGAATTTAACACGCTCTGAAAAACGGAGGAAGCGTCAAAGCAGTGAAGAGGAAACTTGGGATAGGCGAAAATCGGATATATGCACTAAGGGACACAGAAGGCAAAATAACTACCAATA